GCGTTCAAAGTTGATTTCCCGGACTAATTTCCTGGAAAAACGCTGTCCAAAGCTGCGATTTTTTCCAGATTTACAGCAACAGTAAACTACTGTATCACTCGTTTTGACTGTGTGTTTCCTATTGATTCATGTCGATTTACGGCGGGTCTCGAAGCGGAGTCCTCTGGAAAACAATGGCAGCTTTGGACAGCGTTTTTCCAGGAAATTAGTCCTGGAAATCAACTTTGAACGCGCCATAAGACTTCTTCTAAAAAGAATAGAGAATAAGGGAAAATATAATTCTGAAGACAGCAAAAAATAGGATAAATATATGAATTTGAAAATGGAAAAGGAAAAACAGAAATGGATTTGGGGGGTTTCTGAAAAAAAGGAGATTGGAAGAAATACGGGAGATGAGTGAAGGGGGTGTCAATGGGCTCTGCTTTTTGGTTTTTAGAGCTTCACACATGACTGACACTGGCACTGAAACCAACAAAGATGTTAAGAATAGTGGCCGTCAATTTCGAGCTTAATTATCTCGATTCGTAGGAAAGATATCAAAAACTTGCCAACTGATAAAATATAGGTGATATTATGATCAAAATTTTACCAGTTGACCCACTTTTTATATCTTTGACAGGAGTCGAGATAATTAAGATCAAAGTTGACAATTCGGGTAGGTAATTCAGAAACTTCAAAAGCTGGCTCTTTTTTTGAATTCCGCAAAAATGAACTGTACCAAATCTAAAAATTCCAATAAATTTGGTTTTTTTTTGAAAAAAAAATTTGTTCAAATGAAAAGTGGAAGCTTTTGAAATGTATGACTAGCGGCTTACAAGCTTTCTTTTTCCAAGACCCATCCTCCACGTTTTTGAAAAGTATTTTTTGAACTTTTGAGTGTTAATAAGAAGTCGACTGACTAAATATATCATTAGGCCCTTTACCACGGTCTAGCAAAAAAATCGGAGCTATGGAAGAAAAACACCGGCGGCCGTTGCCGAAGGTCCCACAACGACAACTACCGTAACCTGGATTTTTTTATATTCCGGATCCATTATCTTAATTTTTCGAGAAAATCAATCCAGAAAATCGAAATATGTTTAGGTTACGGTAGCTGACGTTGTGCCTAAGCCACCGGTGTTACGATTAAAGAGCTAGATTTGGTAGTACCGTATTCCTAACAGAAGAACATTATGTCCAAAAAGAACAACATCATTAAGAAGAGATCCTACTTCTTTCCAAAAGACTAGGGACCACACCCAACAATACTCGAAAATTCTTAACGGCTTCAGTTGTTTTCTGGACTAAAATTTTGGTTCAGAGTCTGAAAGTATATATCCAAACACACACGAGAACTGCGTGGGGTCACAGCGACATCAAAAAGCATTGGAAATAAAAAAAAACAAAGGAGTGCGACGTCTTCTTTTCTTCTTTTTCTCACTTTCCATTTTCCAACGTGCTCTTCAGAAGACGACGTAGGCTCTCTCTGTGGGGCAATGATAAATGCATGTCACCCCTTTCGGAATGTGTCATCCGGAGACTCCGGAAGGCGACACATCGTGGCGGGAAAGAAGAGCAGATAGCAAAGACAGTGCGTGAGAAAAGGAGACGCAGAGACAAGAAGCAATTAGAGAAAAGGGGCGGAGAGAAGAATGGCCTCTTTCTCTCGAGCCCTTCTTCCCTGGAATTTCCGGTTCAGATTTGGTTTGGTAGTGTCGACAAAAAAAAACGGAGAGGGGTGAAAAGAATTGGAAGAATAGAAGAGGCAATCAAACAAACGCCTTCTTCTCCATCTCCGTCACGAATTGAAGAATAGCAGAGACACTCGTAAAGAATAATGAGAAATTTGAAGTGAGAGCAAAAATGTGATATTGGCAAATTGGGAAAAAATCTTCATTTGGGAGCCTATATAACGGTAATGTAAACTTCAGGGGTACGAATAATGTTCATATAGTAAAAAACGGGAGGCGTTTGAAGTGCAGGTGGCTTGCGATAGTCGAATCAAGAGTCTCAAGGAACGTATCACCCAGTTGAATGAAGATCGAGAGCTTCTGTTGAGAGAGGAGGTGAAAG